ATCCTGCTTTACTACAGGAATCCATAGAGTGACAGTACATCAGGATATATATATATATATATATACATATATGTATTGATAAAAAAATGTGATACATAGATATAGATACACCACCCAATAATCAGCTGGTGGTCTTACGGACACACCCCAACTCCACAGTGAGTGTTATAAAAGTATATAGATATAGTGTTAAGATATAAAATTCACCATACCTGAGCAGGCAACACCCGCCGTCAGGTGAGTTCCTGAAATATGATGTATAACAACAAAATAAGATAAAAAAATAATATGACTACTTACCCCAGCCAAAGATGAAAAGATGTGTAGAATTGCCACAGGAGGAAGACAATACCTGCCTGAGGAAGACACAGCTATGTTGTGCAGAAAAAGAGTGACAGATGTATAGGGATTTGTCTACATACCAGCCTAAATGATCTCCAAAAGACAGTGGTGTCAAGCAGCTAAAAACTGAGTTAGATGATGGATTTGGTGTGAATAAACAATAGACAGTGACCTGCCAGGGACATTCAAAATATGCCATGAGCATAATAGGTGAAAGATCTGGGGAAACAGAGGAATACAATTAGACACAAACGAGAACAACAAAAAGAGGCTGTAAGAGCCAAACAACACAGCAGGGAATGAACTGGACAAATGACATGATCCATGAACCAAACAGGAATAGAGAAGGGAAAAGGAAGGTAAGGAAATACGAGAAAAGGCAAAACAACAGTTCCAGGTAACCAAAGACCAGGGAAAGAATGCTTGATCTGGATAACGAATAACATATGAGGAATGGTAAAGGATGGCATAAAAATCGGAATGACAATGAACACATGCCAGGAGAGGAAGGATTTAGGTCTTAAGAGAAAAATGGCACAAGGAACAAATTGAAATGAGTTCAAAGGGAGAACCGGACAATACATGAAGAATAACATTGAGATCCCAATCCAGCAGAACAAAGGAGCATATCATTAGACCAGATGAAAGAAATGGAAAAACCCAAGGAAGAGAAAGCTTTTTGGAACTGGGAGAACAGAGAACAGAGGGTGTTTGACAAAGCAGCTCTATAAACAGCATCAGTTGAAACAGACAAACCCTGATAAACAACCACATGAAGAATTGGGACACGTGAGGAACAGAAGTACAGGAAGGTTGGAAGCCATGGGAAATAGACCAATGACAGAAGCAAGACCTATGCCTCTGTTATATAGACAAAGAGGAAGGGCAAATGGTACAGGCAAGGAAAGATGTGACATGAAGGGTGAGTCCCAGAGCTGACACACAGGACTGGACAAAACTCACACAGAAAGATGGAGTGTGATGACATTGTGATGAAAAAGGTAAGATTGTGGTTGATGGAGGAGCAAACAGGACAGAGAAAAGGGCAGGGTCTATTGCTCCAGTAAGGGTCTAAGCAGAGGGAACTATGTCCAAGACGGCCAATCTGGAGCAACCAACAAAACATAGCAACAAGTGATCCAGATAAGGAAGAAGAGGAGTCAGATTGGAGGGTAGGCATATAGGCGAGCCCCTGAGCTGAGGCACATGCTCAGACAAAAGTCACTTAGAAAGATGGAGTGTGGTGATGTTGGGATGAAGAAATGACAGATTGCAGTTGACTGATGAGCGGACAGGACAGAGAAAAGGGAAAGGTTTGTTGCTCCAGTAAGGGCCAGAGCAGAGGGAACCATGTCTGAGCAGCCAATATGGAACAACCAGCAGAAAACAATAAGGAGTGGTTTGAATAAGGGAAAAGACCCAGAAGATAAGATAGATCAGAGGATAGGCATGTAGGTGATGACTCCTCCAAACTTGACTGAAAGCATCCATTCCCAGAGCTGAGGAGTGAGGAACTGGAGACCCAAAAGGAAGAAAGTTTGGCATCCCAGTGAATGGGAAACACATACCGATAAGCAGTTTTCCCTGATGAGAACACACCCACAGAAAAATGTGAGGATGAAGAGACCACACTGTGGAGAACCTGGTTGGAACATAATAAAAGATTGGCCATAGATCACCTGGGAAAAAATACAATACCTAACTTGAAAGGAAAACCTCGCCAGCTGAACTTAAGACACAAACTCCCCGCAAACTAAAGCCTGTTCCTTCCCAGCAGACATTGTTGACCCTGAGACTGGAGATTAGTGTTAGAACCATTGTCTACTTATGGTTGGAAAATTATCATCTGCCATAATAAATCTCGAATTCCTTTGAACAAAATAGAATTTGGGAAATAGAAACATTTAAAGAAATAACGATTAGAAACAATGAATATCAACACAAGAAGTTAAAACTTGAAGGTGAAACTGATATTAATTGGTGATCAAGCACAATCAGAATTGTGCATTCACATGGAGAACGAGTTAAAACATACATCTATACACTAGAATGCCAATTGAGAAAGTGAGAATTGTGCTGCAATGGTAGTATATATAGTGCTAGTACAGGGAGTGCAATATGATTGGTGGAGGGCAGTCACATGATGAGCACATGTTGCTGCAATGACACAAAAGTATAGGGATATAAAAGACTGGTGCACTGTTGAAAATTTTAGAAATGCTTAGAGGGCAAATGAAGATTGAGATAGCTGTGGTGAGAATGGTGGTAAGTACAGTTTCTGAAGTGAGTAAAAATCAAGGGCAATTAACACTTGATTCATCTGTACTATTGTAACAAAAGAAGCATACCATACATACCTCCACATTTTTTTTTATAAAGTTGGTTTCCAAATGTTGTTCATTGTTTTTTTGAAGTTTCACTCCCTCAATTGTTAATTTTTTTCCTTCTTCCTTACAAACACCTACATTGTACAGAAAGATAACTTTCTAAGAAAACTACAACCAAAATGTTACACACAATACCAACAACAGACTTAACACTAAAAACAAAACTATATCATAATGCACTTTGATTTATTTTTATAAATTTCTCAAAAACATCAATAAACCTGGGTTTTATCCAAAACTTTCAAGTTCAAAAAATTAAACTTATCTTAAATGTGAACACTCTAAAATTCTACAATTTTAAGTTTTTTCCTAAATCATATATTATCAAGTGACATTTATTTAAATTAAATTCAAGAATCACTCTTAAAAACATTTACCTTAAAGATTAATAATTTATCAAATTGATACATGTACACAACCTAAAGTTTTTACACATGAGATATTTTTCACAGTTTACCTTATAAATTTCCCAACACTCATTTACTGACATGAAGAGTCTTAAGCATTATTTCCAAAAACACAATTAAAACCTTGTAATATACATAACTCTTACTAGCTTTGTATATTTGTTAAACAATGTGCATAATAAAGGAGCATAAACATTGGAATCAGAACAATAAACTATATCAAACATTTGTGACTTACCAGTTAAACCTAAAAATGATTAATGATGCAAAGTATTTATTTTGTTTAAAATAAATATCACACAATGAAGAAATACAAATGAGATCACAATAGAAGAGCAAACCTGGTAATGTAATACCTGACACAAAAGAAAACTAAAGATTAAGTCAAGTGAACCTTTAAAGTTAAAAACTGAGTTCAAATAAAAAATAAAAAACAAATAAGAATGTTGTAACTGTTCATTTAATTGTTAGTAAATGTTCTTTATCAGTCATACACACTCTTATAAGACATTCATGTGTATTGTTATAGCTATATTTATAATGTTGTAAAGTTTTGAATTTAGGTTTTAGCTAAAGGATGCACGGTGTTGAGACCAAGCAAGTCCTAGAAATGTCTAGAACAAGTGTATATTATCAATACAAAATTCTGTGAAGGATCAAGAGGTTAATTGCAGAGTGAGTTGAAAGATAGTCAAGCATAGAGTGTAGAGTTGTTTGAAGATTAAGAGTTGAATCAACATGTTCTCATGAAGTATTTGGATATGTGTTTGCTATTGCACTTTGAGTTATGTTTGTTCAAGTATGTTGATCTGTTTTCACTTTAGTTAAATCACTTGTACCGCAGGCCTACAACAATTCACAGTGAACATGTTTTCAAGCCTGCAGAAATGTTAAAGGAGGAAATAAAGTAATTTCTTCTCATTATGTGGACTGAACATTGAATTATTGTTACCAGATAATTTCAAAGAATCAGCCAATTAAAGAACAATGCTACAACAGTATATTCATGTAAAGTTCTATTTAAAACACACTGTACAAAAACTCAGAATATTTTATCTTCACAACTTACTATGAACTGTATGATGATGATCACTTTCATCTTCTGGGAGCTGAGTCTGAAAAATTGGCCTTATGCATACAGCCTGCTTGTTATCATATTCTCCTGTTACAATCATTGAACAAAATATAAAATTACTTGTACACAAACATAATTTTCACTTTATAACAATACACTTGAAGCTAGCCAGAGTCTTGTCACCACTTAATTACAACTTTCTGTATTTTGAGATCTGCAAAGTTTAAAATGAATGCATTTACACTTACAAGAATGATTTACTGATTCACACACAAGCCTTAAATTAGTAGAGTTTTGTCTTTAATGGACTGCTCCTACTTGTTTCTATGGTGTGATAACATTTCAACTCCTATACTGAAGTCTTATGTGTTTTTAAAGGTTGTTTTTTTTACCTATTTTGAGCAAAAATAAAGGATGAGAATAAAAGTTTTTTTTATAGGTTTCAAAGGTTTCTCTGTGAAGCCTGTTAGGAAAGACTGATGATGACATTAAATTCTTGAGTATTTCTAGCTATGTGGAGAATGTTCATCTACTACAAAATGACTTGGATCAATCATTAAGCTGAACAAATATTTGGCAAACTACCTTTAATTACAGTAAGTGCACAGTCATACATTTGGATTATTTTAACGTGGGCCAATGTTTAATATAAATGGAAATACACTAAAGAAAAGGATCTTAGATTTTAGGGTATATTTACTGACATACTGCATACAAGTTAAGAAAGTAATTACCTGTAAATAGAGATCTCTAGTTAGGCCTTACTTTGAATACTGTGTGTAGCTTTGGTCTCTTATCTAATAAAGGGTAATTGTCCAGAGGTAGGGTGTATTTAAACGTTAACTTTTTCTCAGAGGTGGGTGTACAGGTCCCCTTTATCCATATGTTCAGTTTTCTTAGTTAATTGAATAAACTTGTATCTTGACAATTAACTTACTTTCTCTGGTATTTTCTGGTCTTTCGCTTTCCCAGGCTATGTACTTCAGTGTGTTTTCCCTTTCTTCTTGTGATTCTTTTCTTTTTAATAAGTTTAGCTGCTCAAGTTCACTTTCAAACAGTTTTTTAAAGTTTAATCTCTTTTCTTTTAATTTTTGTTCTTCTGCCTGTTTCATGGCAAGTTGTTGGTCTAGCCTCTCTATCTCCAGCAAACCTTCTACAAGTTTTATATCATCTACATCAAGTCCATTTTCTGACAAGACACAAATTTCTTCCTTGTTATTTTCTGTGGCAGTTGTTGTAGAAGAAATATCACTCAAATTGCAACTAAGATCACTCTGAATGGTGTATGCATCATCAGTTATACCAGAAGTGGTATCCAAGTCTTTTTCTGACAGAGCAATCAAAAATAAACATTAAAAAATATATATATAAATGTTTTGCATAACATCTTTAAACTTTAAAACTAATTCACAAATCCAACAAAGTTTTATTAAAAGTTAAAGTATATATATATATAAACCTTACCTTTGATACTTAGATTGTGTAATTTTTCTCCTATCCATTCCTTCAGATGGTCTTTTATTTCTTCAGTACTGATTTCTTGTTTGCTTTTAGATTCAAAGGCAGTATCTTTCATAAACTTTTCAGATGTTTGAAAGTACTTGCTGTTTTTAGTTTTGTCTTCTAAAATATACATTTCACCATACTGAACATTCTTATTTTGCCTATTTCCTGGGCCAGTGTTTTCTTCCTAATGTAATAAAAATGGGAGTACTAAACAAAAAGCAACTACTTTAAAAAAATACACATAAGAGATGTAAAAAAACGAGTTTCTACCACAAACTATTTGTTATTAAATGCAAAGCATACTCTAGCACAGAAATTTATATAAACACTTGATCTGATACACTTCTGTGTCAAAAGTCATTATTCATCAAACTCCACCAGGTACAGTTTTTTATTTGTTTATGTTTTTTAACCCTTTCCAACCAAAGTTCCTTAGTTTCTACACTTGTGACCACCCTGTCTAATAATAATAATATAGTTCTTGCATAAGAACAAACAAAATAAAGTACTTAAAATTACGTTTGAATTATTTCATCAAATACTAGTTTGAAAAATAATGATTTAGAATTAACAAGAACAGTAACAGTTAAACTAATCAGTACTCATACTATAGTGAAAGACTGATAGTGATACAAATTACGATGGTTGTCCGAGACTTTATTATTCATATTGTAATTTATCTTACGTCTAATAATGCTTGGAGACGGCTTGAATGGGTAATGAAGAAAAACTTTATTACCCATTCAAGCCGTCTCCAAGCATTATTAGTCTCAAACTCAAAGTGGGTTCCTCGTCATCGAATTATCTTACGTCTACACTAATTACTTCTACTAGTCTTTAGACAATATGACGTTCATTGGTACATTTCAAAGCTTTAAAAGAACTTACCATAAGTGTCAAAGATAAAACTATCCTTATAACAGAAACAAGATATAAAATGAAATTGAAAACCTAATATTTCTTGTTTAAATTTCGTAGCGCTCTCTTTCGGCGTTGTATCTCACAAGCTAAAGTTTTACTATTATAATGATTTTAAAATATATCACAAAGTATTATCCTATCATGTACACTTTAAAGCTATACTTATTTAGGTACTTTCCTTCCGTACAATACATAAGTACACACAGTAAACAGACAAAACTTACAAGCGTTATATACGTGAGATTAAATTGCACAGTAAAAAAAATATATTTTGATTAAATAAGCTTTGTATATTCGCTATTTTCTAAACAAAACCAGCATCCAAAAATGTGCTCATATCTTTCAAAAAAATAAATAATTTCTTTTCATTGTTACGGTCTACATTCTAAGCCCACATAAAAGTAGGCCTAGAATACCATGAAGCTCTAGATAATGTTACGAAAATCTAGCAATTTCGCCGAATATTTAGAAGTGAGGCAACAGTGAAGCACTGAATCAATTGTGTTTCAGTACCAGTCGTTCAATGAAGTATTTCGACTAATATAGTTATCTTCTATCTTCAGTTACTGAATTGATTAGCTGTTAAAATGTACAAGTAAGTTTATTTTTACTTTAGTCATAGTATTTCCGTTTGAATGTCATTTGTGAGTTTAGGCCTATAAGCTATAATAGTTTATAACTAAAGGCAGCTTGTAGCAACTTTAAGGAAGAAATAAACTAATTTGTTATCGTTATGTGTACTGGACTTTCAATTATTTTCAGCAACTAATTTATAAGAACCCGCCCAATAAAAGTACAACTTTTCAACAACATGTATGTTTCGGTATCGCAAAAATAGAGAACATTCAAAATTATTCTAAACATAATTGTACACGCATGAAAATTAATTAAAATCTGCAGCATTCAGAGTATCATAAAGTGAGTTTGTGGATCAGTTTAGTTAATGATAATACAGTAGAAACAAAAGGATCCCAACTGCTGATTTCAAATAATATTTCATTTTCAAACGTTGCAGTCACAATAGTTGACTATAACTTTGCTTTATTCACTGACAGTCTTGATATACTGCACATCACAGAATATTAATTTATTTATTTTTTTAATTTTTACTAACCCGAACTACTCCGTTTGGAGTTGAAAATTTTCAGCTAAATATATTAGTTTTGGTTTCAGTTTTCATAGAGTTTTATGATGGTAGAATTGCAATATGGTAAAGCAATAACTGCACTTAACATTTAAAAAATGAGTTGCCAAAAGTGCTCATCTAATCCCTCACGTTTATATTTAGGTCTTGTTCTGGACAAATGTGCACACTTTTTTACAAAAATATCTGAATACTTCTTCAACAAGTAACGTGGATCAATTAGTTTTAAAATGATAGCCAAATATTCGCCTGGAACAAGGCAAGTAAATGGATTGCGATGATGTTGGGATTACTGAGAAGAATTGTGGTAGATTTGTGTAGTGTTAATGTTATCATATGAGATGCATTCTACGCATTAGGTAAGGAATCGAATATTAGGTACCTGCACAACTAAATCTACTAGATATTGTAAGTGTATAATGTTCAGAAGTAATAGGAAGGTTGTTTTTAACAGCAGAATACTGCATTCTTACCTAAAGGATATGTGATGCATAGCTTGCTTTGAAGGGGTAATATAGTCCGTAATGAATTTATATACATATGTGCTGACCCTATGACCCTTCTCCGGAACTATTTGGAGGGGTTCATTTGAAAAAGTCAAGCTTTTCAAATAACCATGGAAACAACGTTCATTAGACAATTTTCTTACAAAATAGCAGTATGTATTCAAACCAAGATGGCACTGTACCATATTAGGACAATGATGATTAGAACCAAAAACATTTTACAGTATATGCTATGGGCATGATATCCCTTTTATGTGTTATATTTGATCCTGATAAATTTCAGGATTTGTCATTAATATCTAATACAATTTATTTACATTTACCTTGCACATAAATGTTTTTTTCATATTCATGTTTAATATATATACATGAACATAAAATTGCTAATAGGTAACTAATGAAATTGGCAGTTAAAAATTATATGACATAGGAATAATTAATTAGGTGAAACAAGTTCAGTTTAACCTTGGGTAGTTATAATTTTGACACCTATTATTTAAAAATACTGTTAGAATAATTTTAACAAATACGATTGAAAGAATTTTCAGTATTAGTTGGAAAACCGTAATTTTTAACCATATATCATGATATATTATGCAGCAATATCCAAAGAGACTACGTACGCGTACAAGTATAGTTTCGTATACCACAACTAGTATCCCCAGATGGGACATCGGTTAGTGTGTGGAATTACAACCCCAAAACACGGGGTTCGATTCCATGGGGAGGACGTAGCAGGCTTTGCCCTACGACAAATACACATATACTGTAAACACTTGCTCATTTTTTATGATCGTTATTATAAGAATCTAAATATTCTCTTTGTAAAGAGAAAACAAACAAGAATCTCAAAATACAATTTTGACGTTCTCATTAACCAATTTTTTGATCATGACGAATATAATAAATTTAATGAATACCAAAATACGATATGCAGAATCTCTGGTGTTTAGCTTTGCTCTTCAAACACACTGTTTTTGTGATATTCGCGTGAGTATTAGTTATGGTAACTACCTGTGCCAGAAGTATGACTATTTTTCATCCGTTTTTCTTCTGAAGTATATGTGCTATTATAATTCTACAACTACACTATTAAGTCCTGGTAAGGCTTATCATAGACACCGAGTTATTCGAAGAAAACTTCAATCACATCTACCTAGAAATTATATTATAGGGATTATTATGACTGCACCTACATTGGAAAAGTATTACTATTAACATATAAAAATAAAATTTATTGTATAAATTTTACTACCGTTAGATTAAATTGTTTTTACTCATTAGCAATAATATTACTTGTGTTTTAATTAATTTTAAACAAAACAATAACGAAAATTTAAAGATACTTAGTAATTGCTTTAAAATGAAAATAAAACTCAATACTGATGTTTTCTTTTCTTTGAAGTATTTTAACTGTTTTGACACATAAATTTCAGCCACTAAATCATATTTAGCTGTTGTTGTTTTTAATGAGACTTTGATTCCTATCTTAAAGCATTTGAACTGCTTTTCTATTGAGGATGTATTACTACTAAAGCTTTTTAACTGCTTTTTTACGTCCAGAAAATACTGATAGTGCACTAAAGTGTATGAACTGCTTTGATTCTGCGAACTCACTATTTCTAATAGACACAAAACTGTTTTAGAACCATCAGAGTACTTTTTCAAAAGCATTTTAACTGAGAAAGTTATACCAATTTAACCCTCTTCTTGCTTTTACATCCAATTATTACGACCGTTAATGATATAAACTAATTGTGGACAAAATTACTATTGCTAATTGTTTATATTTGGTTTTAGACACAACAAGTAATCCACGCATATTTTACGGAGGTTGAAAACGATATATTAAAACAATTTTAGAGCCTCACCACATCGTTACAATTTATGTCGCCATGTTTGGTCGTGCTCTATGTAACGACCATGCTTCTTGATGGTATTCTAGCAGCGTAGTTTCTATTGCAAAACGCTCCTTTGTGGGATTGTCATGTCTCAAGAACAACTTTCCCATGAATGTTTTCCACAACCCATATAGTGTACGAGAATGATCGGTTTCCCAGCACCAATTTCATCAGTCCGAGCATACATAAATTCAGCAAAATTTTTAACAATCGCATGTGACTCAAAATTATAGTGGATACAACACATTAATAGCATAAAAACCAGAATTTGGAAAAGAGCGAGTTACCTTAGGAGCCTGACTGGCAAACAAACAAACAAGGAAATTCACCAGAAAACATATTAAAAATTTACATAACATACATAAGACCCGTCATAGAATACGTCTGTATAACATAGATAAATGTATCAAAAACACACAGCAACAAACTACAACAAATACAAAAACTATACTTTTACGAAAGCATATAAGGTCCCACGATCAACAAACTCAGAATTTCTACACAACTGTTCAAACATGCCAACACTATCAGACTGACTCCTGGATAATTCGCTTCAATATTATAAGAAAAATATTAATAAAAATGAACTGGTGAGCAAACTAGAGAGCTACATGATACATGATGAACTAAACCCTAAGTACCTCTCCCCTTCAAATATCATAAATAAGAAACTTATAGGCCACACAATGCTGGGCTAATTGAATTCTAGACATAAACGTAGCTCTATTTTAAAGGGGTTTTGTGTGTAAAAATAGGATTACGTGTGTGTGTATATGTGACTGCTAAACGGAACTGTATTGTAAACACGGACTAATAGTGCAATCATACATAAGTGAAGTTAATTGATATTACCCCAAGAATTGGACATGACACGAAAAGGGTATGTTAATTAAAACTACGGAGTAATGGACAGAATGTAACATACTGTGAGTAATGCAAACAAAGAGTGCAAACAAAATAACAATTCCTGAGAAGGAAAAAGAGATCTACGCTGAACCTGACCCTCCTTGGTCCAAAACATGGACCGAATCCCTATGAAAATGAAGTCCATGAGCGAATTGACCGATCTGTCTTCGTAAGGAATAGCATGAATACCTGTTTCATTTTCCACCTGCTTGAGGTATGCGACGTTGAACGAATATATCGTGGAAGTAGCTTGTGGACACGTAACTTGTGTCACTTTTCCAGAAGGAGATCCTTGATTATCTTGCGTAATACTGCTTGAGTCATAATGACATTTTTTTGTCATCGACCTTTGTGTTCTTTTACCCTCCCTGTTACGAAATTTTGCACTTTGCTTATCATAGCTGGAGT